TGTGGCTAGGATCCATGTTTGTTCAGAAGCACAGCAATCCTGTAAATAGGCTGTCAGTAGGAATGGTAGTGCCACGCTCTGTCAGAGGCTCCAGCTGAACCACTGACAGGAGCAGCTGAGAGGGTAATGGATTATCACTGTCTCTGTGTAGCTTGTTAACGTGGGCAAGTGTTTGTGGGGCTGGCAGTGACCCTTCTCATGAGGGGCTGATGTCTTGTAGACAAACCTGGAGCACGATGTGTATGAGAGATTGACTGCCCTGCAGGAGGGACTCATTCCCAAGAAAAAGGCAGCGACGGATGATGACTTGCATCGAATCAATGAACTGATACAGGTAGGTCCTGTGGCCTCTCAGCCTAGCAGAGTTGCTTCACCCTTAATTACAAAACTTCCCACTGCCATTAGCAAGAGCTAAAGCTGGCCTAAAAAACATGCAGCCTCATTTCCTGTGCTTCCTGTGTCATCAGTCACAAGGGACATTGGGAAAAGGCAGAGGGATTGCTTAGACCAGACATTCTGCTGTTAATGACGAGTATTTCCTTTCAGGGGAACATGCAGAGGTGTAAACTTGTGATGGATCAAATAAATGAGGCTCGAGACTCCATGCTAAAGGTCCTGGACCACAAGGATCGTGTTTTGAAGCTTCTAAACAAGAATGGAACTGTCAAGAAAGTGTCCAAATTAAAGCGAAAGGAGAAGGTCTGAAGACAGACTAATGACTCTGGCAATGGAGAACGTGTACAGAATGGAGTTGAACCTTTTTGTAGTTTGGGTTTATTTTTAAGCAGAGCATCTGAATAAAAAGGATGAGTTTAGGGAACAGATGGACACGTGAAGCCTGGTGACCTGGTGGGATTCTCCCTGATCTTGTCATAATGAACAAAGATTTCTCTCAGGCTCATCCCTTTTTAAAGTCTTTCCAGCCCCATTTGTTTAACCCTCCTGATGTGTCAGTGCCTACTAATTGGAACTAGGGATGCAATGTGTGGTGGACAGTGCTCTCCTGTTGTGCAGCTTAGGGGTGACTGTGCACAAGGACACACCTGTAAGGCAGGAGACTGCAGGGACACAGGAGGGTGACATACAGGTGTGGACCCAGACAGCAGCCAAGCTTCCGAGCACCGGAAGTGACACAGCTCTCATTTACTCAATTTGGTTCTCCGCTTCAGACACGGGAAGGTCAGAAGAACAGAATGCCTTCTTAAACCAGTGCCACTGCACTAGGAGATCTGCCACAAAGAATCTCCAACAGCTCAGAAGTCCTAGCTGTCAAGTTAAAAAAAAAATGGGAAAAAAAAAAGTTGGGGGGGAAATAATTTCCAAGTGGTATTGTAGCGTCTGTGTGTGTGTGTCCATGTTGGTGCTCTGGGATACTCGTGTTGAAGTACCTCTTGCAACAGAGGGGCTTCCTGTAGCTGGTGTAATGTTAATTGTACGTACCACATACATCCTGCAAACATGAATAAAGGACTTGGAGGTTTTTGTACGTGAGCAGTTTGTGTACCTTTGTACTAGGGAAACTGCTCACCCTGCAGACTTGAAAACGAAGCCTGTCAGAAGCTTGTGGGGAGAAAAAAGCACATTGGGAAGCAGCCAGTGTCCTGTGCTGCAGAGAGCTCCTAAAGATGGAATATTGATTATTCCTCATGCCTTTGTGCATTTAACCTTAATGTTTCAGAAAGGTTTATAATCAGTTAATTTTTAGTCTCTTCAACAGGAGGCTTCAGTTTCATGAACTAATTCTGGTTTAACTCATCCAGTTACAGAGCTGTTATCTTGCCTTTATTCAGAACTGAGCTCTTTCACAAGTTACATCAGAAGAAACAGTATTTAATTCTCAGTTCCTGGTTTATTTTTTTAACTAAAGAAGTCAAATGTCCATATTGGCACGGTTCTTGTGTTTTTAACACATGCGATCCCAAATTCTTTTGGCTTTGGCTGTCAGTCTTATTTTCATACTAGCTGGAATTGTTCAAATGAAACCACTTTCATTGTAAGATACAATTCTAGTATAAGGATATTGTAACTTTGGTATCAGGGTACTTAGGATATTTGTTAGTTTCCTTGGCTAGAAGAAAAGAAACATCAAAATATCCCTCCAGTTTTCCAAGCCTGCGAGGAACGTGTGTGTGTGTGCATGTGTATGTAGAAATTAAAATGAGAGAGAAGACAAGACAAAGTGAGACTCAAACTGCTTCTATCACCTTGTATTTCTTATGCCTCGGGAACAGAAGATGCACAACTGGTCAAGTATTTGTTTGATGTTGTCAGGGTAATAAAGCAGAGTGCCAACACTCCCAGGTTCCTAAGGTTTACTGCAAGAAGCTCACTCAGGATCAGGAAATTGACTTGTGTAGGCTTGGGAACTGTTTCACATCTTGGCAAAGGGCTTTTGGGTGAAATCCAAGGCATTACCAGCAAAGAGTGAGGTATTTGCAGGGAAGGGAGGGGAGGATTCCTTTAAGGACTGCAGAAGTTAAAAACTTGCTCTTACTCTGTTGTTCTAGGTATTCTCACCTGATTGATTGTAACCTGGCTGTAACCTGGTGTTCGTGGCTGTCACCTATACTAAAAAGGGTCATGCTGTTCCAAACCCTTGGAGTGGCAATAATTGCACTGTTGTCCTAGAGGTGTGCAAGCCACAGTTTCTACAGTGTGCAAGGCCAGGAGCAATCTGGCCTAGTGGAAGGTTCCTCCCATGGCATGGGTTGGAATGAGATCGGCTTTAAGGTCCTTCCAACTCAAACCATTCTGGGATTCCATTCTGTAGGAGAAAGTACAATCCACTAACACTGAACAGGATTTCTCCAACTGCTGTTTTCTTGCCTTCTTGCTTAAACTTAGATCAGAAATGATATACATAAATTTCATTTTACAATCTTGAACTGAGCCAGTTTGTCTCTCGAGGCTGTGTCAAGTGCCTGTACTGGAATCTACACAATCTGCTCTTCAGCTTGCTCAGATGTTTCACCTGTGTTTCAGGAGAAAGCAGAAAGCAGCAGTGTGGTTTGCTGCAGGGTGCCTGAACACCTCACACAGCCACAACACCGTGACTCACCTCAGCCCACGCACTGAGCTGCTGCAACCACCTGCTGTCAGAGAGCTCTCTCAGGGTGGATACGGAGCCTCTTTTCACAACATGCCCTAAACCACTCGATGGAGTTGTAACTCCATCTCTGCAGTGTTTTTGACAGCAGTATGTGGTGGAGGGAAGGATTTGGGTGCCCCATTGGGGCCAAGCAGCAGTTGGAAACACTAAAAATTTTTGCTCTGGTGCAGTGTGATATTTGTTATTTGCGTGCTACTGCCAGATTGG